GGATCTTGCCTTTGGTGTTGTATCTAAAAAGTCATTGCTGTATCCAAGGTCATCTAGGTTTTCTCCTGTGTTATTTTATAGGAGTTTTATAATTTTTCATTTTACATTTAGGTTTGTAATCCATTTTGAGTTAATTTTTGTGAAAGGTGTAAGGTCTGTGTCTAGATTAATTTTTTTGCTTGGGGATGTCAGGTTGTTCCAGCACTGTGTGTTGAAGAGACTGTCTTTGCTCCATTTTATTGCCTTGGCTTCTATGTCAAAGATCAGTTGACTACATTTATGTGGGTCTATTTCTGGTCTCTCTATTCTGTTCCATTGATCTATGTGTTTATATATTGATTACTATAGCTTTTTTTTCCCTTTTTTCCCCAGCTTTATTGAGATATATTTAACATACAACATTGTGAAAGTTTAAGGTGTACGATGTGTGATAATTTGATATGCATATATATTGCAAAATGATTATACTATAGCTTTATAGTAAGTCCTACAGTTGGGTAGTGTCCATCCTCCAACTTTGTTCTTCTCCTTCAATATTGTATTGGCTATTCTTGGTCTTTTGCCTCTCCATATAAACCTTAGAATCAGTTTGTTCATATCCCCAAAAGAACTTGCTGAGATTTTGATTGGAATTGCATTGAATCTATAAATCATGTCAAGTGACTTCTTAACAATATTGAGTCTTCCTACCTATGCACATGGAATATCTCTCAGTCTCTTTGGTTCTTCTTTCATTTTGTTCATGAGAGTTTTATAGTTTTCCTCATACAGATGTTGTATGTGTTTTGTTAGATTTGTCCCTCAATAATTACTTTTTGGGGGTGCTAATGTAAATGGCATTATTTTCTTCAAATTCCACTTGTTCGTTGCTGATATATAGGAAATTGACTGACTTTTGTATTTTAACTTTGTATCCTGCAACCTTGCTGTAATTGCTTATTAGTTCCAGTCTGCTTGGTCAATTTTTGAGGATTTTCTACATAGACAGTTACGTCACCTGCAAACAAGGACAGTTTGACTCCTTCCTTCCCAATCTGTATACTTTTTATTTACTTTTCTTGTCTTACTCCATTAACTAGAATTTCTAGTACAATGTTGAAAAAGAGTAATAAGAGGAGACATTCTTCCCTTGTGATTTAGTGAGTTTCGAGTTTCTTACCATTAAAAATGATGTTAGCTGTATAGTTTTTTGTAAATATTCTTTATCAAGTTGAGGAAGTTCCCTCTACTCCTAGTTTACCAAAAGTTTTTATCATGAATGAATGTTGGATTTTGTCAAATGCTTTTTTTATATCTATTGATATGATCATCTGACTTTTCTTTTTTTAGCCTGTTGATGTGTGATGGATTACGTTAATTGATTTTCAAATGTTGAACCAGCCTTGCATACCTGGGTTACGTCCCACTTGGTGATGGTGTATATAATTATTTTTATATATTGTTGGATTCAGTTTACTAATATTTTGTTGAGGATTTTTGCATTTATGTTCATGAAAATATTAGTCTGTAGTTTTCTTGTAATGTCTTTGTCTGGTTTTGGTATTGGGGTAGTGCTGGCCTCATAGAATGAGTTAGAAAGTATTCTCTCTGTTTCTATCTTCTGAAAGAGACTGTAGAGAATTGGTATATTTTCTTCCTTAAATGCTTGGTAGAATTCATCAGTGAACCCATTTGAGCCTGGTGTTTACTATTTTGGAAGGTTATTGGTTATTGATTCTATTTATTTAATAGGTATAGGCCTATTCAGATTGTCTATTTCATCTAGTTTATCATTTGTGGACATAGAATTGTTCATGGTATTCCTTCATTTTCCTTTTAATGTCCATAGGATCTGTAGTGATGTGTCCTCTTTCATTTCTTCTTTTTTTTTTTTTAAAGATTGGCACCTGAGCTAACATCCATTGGCAATCTTTTTTCTTCTTCTTCTCCTTCCTACAGCCCCTCAGTACATAGTTGTATATTCTAGTTGTGAGTGCCTCTGGTCGTGCTGTGTAAGACACTGCCTCAGCATGGCCTGATAAGCAGTACCATGTCTGTGCCCAGGATCCGAACTGGCAATACCCTGGGCTGCAGAAGGGGAGCACGTGAACTTAACCACTCAGCCATGGGGCCAGCCCAGCCCCCCTCTTTCATTTCTAATATTAGTAATTTGTGTCCTCTCTTTTTTTCTTAGCTAGCCTGACTAGAGGCTTATCAATTTTATTAATCTTTTCAAAGAACCAGCTTTAGATTTTGTCAATTTTCTCTATTGATTTCTTGTTTTCAGTTTCATTGATTTATGCTCTGGTTTTTATTGTTTCTTTCCTTCAACTTTGGATTTAATTTGGTCTTCTTTTTCTAGTTTCCTAAGGTAGAAGCTTAGATTATTGATTTTAGATCTTTCTTCTTTTTAATTGTGCATTCAGTGCCATAAATTTCCCCCTCAACACTGTTTCACTGAATCTTACAAATTTTGATAAATTATGTTTTCATTTTCTTTTAGTTCAAAATATTTTTAAATTTCTCTTGAGATTTCTTCTTTGACCCACATGTTATTTAGAATTGTGTTGTTTAATCTCCATGAATCTTGGGATTTTCCAGCTATCTTTCTGATACTGATTTCTAGTTTAATTCCATTGTGGTCCTGGAGCAGGCATTGTATGATTTCTATTCTTTTAAATTCGTTAAGGTGTTTTATGGCCCAGAATGTGATCTCTTTTGGTGAATGTTCTAGGTGAGCCTAAGAAAAATGTGTATTCTGCTATTGTTGGATTCAAGTAGTCTGTAGATGTTAATTATGTCTAGTTGATAGATGGTATAGTTGAGTTCAGCTATGCCCTTTCTGGTCTTCTGCCTGCTCAATCTGTTTCTGATAGAAGAGTGTTGAAGTCTCCAGCTGAGATAGTGGATTCATCTATTTCTCTTTGCAGTTCTGTTAGTTTTTGCCTCATGTAGTTTGATGCTCTGTTGTTAGGCTCGTACACAATAAGGATTGTTATGTCTTCTTGAAGAATTGACCCCTTTATTCAGTATGTTATGCCCTTTTTATCCCTGATAACTTGCTTGGCTTTGAAGTCTGCTCTGTCTGAAATTAATATAGCTACTCCTTCTTTTGATTAGTGTTTGCATGATATAATTTTTTCCATCCATTTACTTTTTTTTTTTTTAAGATTTTATTTTTCCTTTTTCTCCCCAAAGCCCCCTGGTACATAGTTGTATACATTTTCAGTTGTGGATCCTTCTAGTTGTGGCATGTGGGAGGCCGCCTCAGCATGGCTTGATGAGCAGTGCCATGTCTGTGCCCAAGATTCAAACCGACAAAACCCCGGGCCACTGAAGCAGAGTGCTCGAACTTAACCACTTGGCCACAGGGCCAGCCCCTCCATCCATTTACTTTTAATTTATATGTCTTTATATTTAAAGTGAGTTTCTTGTAGACAACTTATAATTGGGTCTTGTGGGGAGATGTTTTGTTTTGTTTTGTTTTGCTTGAGGAAGATTAGCCCTGAGCTAACAACCTCCACCAAGCCTCCTCTTTGTGCTGAGGAAGACTGGCCCCAAGCAAACATCTCTGCCCATCTTCCTCTACTTTACATGTGGAATGCCGCCACAGCATGGGCTGATAAGCAGTGTGTAGGTCTGTGCCCAGGACCCAAACTGGCAAACCCCAGGCTGCTGAAGCAGAGCACAAGAACCTAACCACTACACTACCAGGCTGGAGTTGGGTCTTGTTTTTTGATCCCTCTTAGAATCTGTGTAAGGGAGGGCTCTTCTTGACTGTCTTTTCCCTGGTTCTCTCTGTTAAATTTTTGGCTGTCCTACTCTTTCATTTGTTGCCACTAGTATCAAAGAGCTACCAACAGCCTCTTATTTGCTTTTCATTAAGATCTCCATTGTTTTCAACAACATCCTTAGGCAAGGAATTTTCTGTACTCTATTCCAAATAAAGTCTCAGTCTACCCAGACAGAGCTACAAAGTTTCATCCTATGGTCTGCCTCAGCCCCTGGGTAGAATTTTTATGCCACTCAACAGGAGCTGGGCACTGGGACAGCATCCCTCTTGACTCCCAGAATAATACCCCTGTTCTATGAACTGGGTCCAGGATAACCCCTGGTTCTTGGCTTGCCTATCCAGGTATGGAACCTCTGCTCTACAAGGAAGCTGAGGTGGGGCAGGGCATTCAGGGCCCCAGTATTCTCAGCTGTGCCTGGGGTAGTTACTACCCCACAAGTAGAGGATGGGAAGGTTAAAGGAGCCTTATTCCTCCTAGCTGCTGCCCAGAACAGAGCTTCTAGTTCTGGATGGGGGACTAGAGAGAGAGGGAACTCCCATCTTCTCTTCCGTGTCTGCCCAGAGTAGACCTCCTGGAATAGAGTTTCCATAACAAAGAGCTGTAGTGAAGGAGAAGAGACAAAGGAAGGGAGCAGCTGGTGGTTCACATGGTACTAACTCTCACCGTTCATACTGAGATTTAATAGACTTTCTTAAATAAATGTTTCTCCATTTTCTCTATGCCCTTAGGACAATTTCTAAAGACTTTAAATGATTATATTTTATAATTTTCACCAGTTAAAAGGTGGTTTTGCTGGGAAGAGGATATGCCAGGCTTCTCCCTCCACCATTCCAGAAATTCTACCTTGATTTGCACGCTTTAAAAGAAAATTCAATAACCTTTTTGAGCCAAACTTCTGATTTTTTCTTTAACATTGGTATGTAAAAGCAAAGGACAAAATATAGGAAGGACCACACACACGCGCACACACAAACACACATTCTTTCTCTCTCTTTTTCTCTCTTAGTAATACATTTGTTTTCCTAAAAATACTCCAGGAATATGGGAAGCAAAAATCTTAAATTTTCAGTCCCTCTCTTTTCAAAGGTAACCACTGTTAACAGTCTAATATGTGTCCTTAGGGATTCTTCAGAACCTTCAGAGAGAGCCTCATGTTATGAAAAAATTAAATAAGTGATACATGAACTGCTTCCATGAAAATCACTGCTGCTTCTGTTGTGTTTCTAGTCATTCATACCTAGAAAAATTCCTTACGGAGCAAATGATGGAAAGGAGGGAAGATGTATGGCTCCCACTCATCTCATATAGAAATTCGTTAGTCACTGGAGGTGAAGATGATAGAATGTCTGTGAACAGTGGAAGTAGTAGCAGCAAAACCTCCTCAGTAAGGAATAAGAAAGGACGACCCCCACTTCACAAAAAACGAGTAGAAGGTAAGTCTGCCCTTACACTATGAGACAAACAGTTTGCCTGATATTATGGACTTAAAGTGGTAAACAATATTTTGTTTGAAGCAAGATAACACTGTTAAGCACATTATTTCCCTGTACATTTGATACACGCTGACAGGTTCACGCAAAAAGTTTGCAATAGACAAAGTGGGACAGAAAAGGGTCAAGGAAAAAAGTTAAAAGAGCATGGAACATTGAGGAAAATAGGCATGGAGGAAAAGAGGAAACACTTATGAAGGTTAATAAAATTGATGCCATACCATAGTCCTCTAATACATTAAAATTTAAAACAAGGTAGTCACAATGTTATTCTATCAAAATTCATCTTAATATAGGAGAGATTCTGGTAAGTTGAGGGTAGTCCTCTGCAGCAAATTGAATATTTGAGAACAACTTTCCATTTCTACCACTCGGGTGGATAATTTATTTTTTAAATATTAAATAAATAATAAATAAATAATAATAAATAAATGATAAAATAAATTTAAACATTAAAATAATGGTGGCCAAATCTGGTTTTATAACCCTTAGGGACTGTAGGGAACAGGGAGTTTAATTGTCATGAAAATGTGATCAATAGTAGATATTCATATATCCAGAAAGACTGAAAATTGCTTTATTAAAATAAAGCACTACTTTTAAACTAAGAGAAAACTCAAAATCAAAATGCTTATTTCCTCAAACAGTCTTACCCCTTCTCCATGCTGCTTCTAATAAATTTTCTCCAAACTGAGAGAGGAAGGCAGTGATCTAAATCCTGCTCTTTCGCTCCTTTTTACAGCCTTCTGTTATCTTTCAGCATCTCATCTCTGCTGCCTAAAAAATAGTGACTCATCAAAGATTTTGCTACAATGTGTGACAAAATTAATTAGAATTTAAATCTAATGTTTCTTTCATCATTGGGGAGGCAGTATTGACTATTTATGAAGACTAAAAACTCTAAAACTCAAAGTTTTAGAACTCAAACTTGGCTTTGTCATTTTTCAGCTGTGGACCCTTTGGGCATGTTACTTAACCTCTCTAAGCCTCAGTCACTGATCAAATGAAAGAAGATCAGAGCACCTATCCTGTCAGCTATTGTGAATATTAAATGAGATACTCCAAATAAAACACTTAGTACACAAAGTGCTTACTTAGCACAGTACTTGGCACAGAGGTAGCATTTGATAAATGTTAGCTGCTGTTGTCAGAATGTCATCATCATCATTATCATCCTATAGTAATGCCTCTTATCTAGCATCAGTCCGTGGATTAGGCTGAATGTCTATTTCAAAGAGAATAAAAGATTTGAAAATATTCACAGAATTAATGTTAAAGTTTAAGATTTCCTTTCAAGTTTCAGCTATTGGACTTAAAATCTTTTTGGTCCAGAGAATTAAAATTCAAAACTCTGGGTGCTGGCCCCGTGGCCGAGTGGTTGGGTTCCCGTGCTCTGCTTCGGTGGCCCAGGGCTTCACCGGTTCAGATCCTGGGCGTGGACATGGCACCGCTCATCAAGCCATGCTGAGACGGCGTCCCACACAGCACAACCAGAGGCACTCACAACTAGAATATACAACTATGTACTGAGGGGCTTTGGGGAGAAGAAGAAGAAAAGAAGAAAAAATAAGACTGGCAACAGATGTTAGCTCAGGTGCCAATCTTTTTAAAAAAAACAACTTCAAAACTCTGTCTTTGTACCATAAGATCCTGAACTTTTCTCTAAAGAATGACTCCAGTTGTTTCCTTTTGAAAAGGTCTTCTAGAACAGCCTCTATCAGGGTGCCCCACAAATATATATATATTTTTTTCCTACTCAGAGCTTTTCATAGATGTAATATTCACATTAGCCAGCATTCATCAAATCCTTGCTATGTACCAGGAATGTGTTTTATGTGCATTATATTGTTTAATCATTTACTTGACTAATATTTGTAAAGCACTTAGGTCAATCTCTGGCATATACTAAATGCTTTATAAATCAATTCTGAGTTCAACACTAACATCCAGATTTTACACTGAAGAAACTAAGGCTTAGAGAATTTAAATAACAAAAAAAATTCACTAATGAAGCAGTCAGTATTATCAACTTCAGGACTAAGAGAAGCATAGATGGACCAGATAACCTAATTTGGTAATGAAGTTGCAAAAAAGAAAATGTGTCTATGTTAGTTCAGAATTTACCAAGTGACTAAAATAGGTTATGTACCCAGAACCCTTAGAGAGCAGAGTTTCATCTGTTTGGGATAAAGATGAGAGAGCTTTGCAAGAAGTGTTTTCTGAGGAATCTTTAGGGGTTAGGAGGAATCTCTTCAAGAAGAGTGACTTCTTCCTGAAGTTATTCGTTCATTCAGTAAGCCTTTACCAAGCAGCTTCCTAAGAACCCCAGCTAGATGCTGGAGATTCACATTAATAAAAGAGCTCATAGTGCAGATGGGGAGACAGAAGCAGACACTTCCAGGTCAGCATGATAAGTGCTCTGATGGGCCACAAAGGTTCTCTGGGAACATACAGGGAGTGACCAAACTTTTAATAAAGTGGGAAAGATTTTCTGGAAAAGATAATATGTAGTTAGTAGAGAGCTGAAAGATGAGTTGACCAGGTTAAGAACCTTTTGATACTATTATGGTCATAAAATTTTAAGTGTGGTAGAGAATAAAAGTTTTGAATTAGATGTTGAATTAAAAATAGAATGAATAAAAGAAGATGAAACATATCCTTGCTGATTAACTAAGAAGAGATTCAGTAGAAACTTCTGATCAGTGGAATGACCTTAATCAGACAATAGGTAGGTATTTCCAGAGACAAAAGCCAACAGATTGTATACATGTGTCTGACAAATTTTCAGAAACCTGAGAAATACTACACAGAGAGAGATGGAATGCTTGATGGCAAATGAGGAACCTAACGTGTACATCTCTGAGCATTAATGAGGGAGGAAAACAACAGGATTCACACTATATGTTGTGATTCAAATTCTTCAGAAGGAAAAAACATAGCAGTAATACTTTTTTTGGTCATCCCATATTAAGAAAATAATTTAGAATTTTTATAGATAGAAACTTTAGAATTATGTAATATTTTATCAGGCTATAGTTTAGGTATGCAAATAATGCTTTAATCTGCTCAGATGTTTATAAATGATCTTCAGAATAAGGATAAAACAGTTCCTGGTCCCTTGAAGAAACTTAATTACAGAAATAACACATACACATGACAAATCACCTGCCGATGCAGGACAGTGTATAATTAAGTCCTAAGTGAGCAGTAATGATTCTATTTCCTCTATGAATTAAGAGAATAGTAAGTTAGGGCTGGGTGGGGTGCTCAGGGAAGGCCTCCCCAAAGAGGTAGAACTCAGAGGCATGAAAACAGCCTCTCAGCCCATCCCCACATGTATGACATGGCAAAGAGTTATTTCTCTAGTGACTAGTGTCCAATTGTGCAACAGGATTTGCTGATTTCTTAGTAAAGGCCAGCAAGACTTTAAGTGCTGCTGCCTCAGGCCCTTGTAAGGCTCAGTAAATAGGCCCTTTATTGCTTGAGCAAAGGAAGGTTAGAGGGGTCTCTGGCCTCATGCTTCCCCTTATATTGTGAATTAATCCTTAGCGATCGAGGGACTTGGAAGAGATGACAATGTGTGGATAGCTAACATTTGATGGTTACATACATTACCTCATTTAATCCTTACAAATCTATGAGGTTAGGTACTGATATTCTCATTTTGTATATGAGAAAACTGAACTTTGGAAGTTTAATGACTTAGACAAAGTCACACAAGTGAGTGGTATAACTGGGATTCAAACAAGGCAGTCTAACTCCAGAGCCATGCTCTTCAAGTCTATGCTCTAACTTCTCCCAGAATTCACCCATGACATTCTGTGACTCTAACTGGAATTTTACAGATGAGAGTCTGGATAATACGTGGCTAAACAGGACTGACACCATGATTCAGACTCCTGGCCCCTTGCCGGCACCACAGCTCACTTCCACTGTACTTCGGGAGAATAGCCGGCCCGTGGGAGAACAGATTCAGGAACCCGAGTCTGAACATGGTTCTGAACCTGACTTTTTACACAAGTAAGTAGTAAAAATTCGTTTCCTTGGCATAAAGCCTTTAAAGAAAGAAGAACTATGTTTGTTCATCAGAGCATATTATTGGTCAGTTCATGAGAGAAACACCACTACAAATAGAAGTTAAATAATTTATATTACAAGATATATAATAAGTGTGCAAAAACTTGTGTATATCAGTTCGTCAAAGTCCAGAGACCCTTAAATGCATGGTGTCTCACTAAGTACTGATTTCAGTTGGAGTTTGCAGATTATTGGGCAAGTCTCTTTCTTCTCAGAGACTTGTCAAGAAGACATGCAGGTTACTTCCTTGGCAGGAGAGCAGATAAGTCTCTGCTAAGGTTGTTACTAGTCTGAACACCAAATAAATAGACTAGTTGTTACTTTTATCATCCATTTAATTAATAGTACTTTATCTTGGTTAATTTTATATTTTGAACTTAAACTTTGTGCATTAAGAATTAAAATATTTGATAAATCCTGAGAATGGTTACCCTTTTAGCTAAGAGTGAATCGAGGTCTTATCTTTTCCCACACTAGCAATTAAAATGTTTTCTAGTACCAGAGCTCTGAAAATTGTGGAAAAGGCAAGTGTGATGGCCTGACTTTTGCTATAAAAATCCTTAACTTTTTCTTTGTTGTTTTCCATCCAACCTTGAAATCTCTTAGCTCTTCACTTTTGTTTCTCTTTCTTTTGGGGTAATGCTATGAATTGCTCTGATGAATGAGAGAATTCTCACTTGCAGTCAACAAATTTAGCAGGTTGAAAATGGAAAGAGGCAGTGTTAGAAATATTCAGATCCTGGGTTTTCCTAAGGCATCTTCGCTCCGAGGATCTGCCGTTCTTCAAAGCTGAAAGGGTACTCCCTGTTAGCTGTCGCATCACTGGGCACTCTTAGAGGGTGCTTGTTAGCTGTCGCGTCACTGGGCACTCTTAGAGGGTGCTTGGCCTCATGACCAGCATTCCCACTCCACTTCCTGTGGGGTGGGTTCCTCCTTGGAGCAGCCTGCCTTGCTTGCCTGACCTTCCCACTTCTCAGTCCCTCCTGGCTGTGATCTGTCTTCTCTTCCCTGCTACAGGTTTACAGGGTTAACCAAGGTGGTAGCCCCACACAGGACAGCTGCTTACAGAGAACTTCATGCAACAGATTTTGTCTACTAAGAATTATTAAAGTTTACATCCTATAAAATTCCCAAGGAAGCATGTTTATGCAAGTGTCCATGTGCCGATAGATATAGAGTGCAGGTGAAGATTTGGCCCAACATGCACCTGACCCCAAATCTCCTCAGAAGGACTGAGAAAAAATGTGTTATCCCCTTCTTTGTCCAACTCTGGAGAGCTCTGAGCCACCAGCCAGCAGCATTTCTGTCCCTTTGGGGACTGGCTGTGAGGAACACTTGTGAGTAGGGCAACAGCTGGTTACAGAGGTCTGAGAAGTGTCCTTGTTTGGCAAGGATTTGGGGAATGAAGTTGATAATTTAAGTACCTGTATGGAGGGGAAAGTTTTCCTCAATCTTCTTAGGATGCCTAGCTGGGTCTGAAAACTAAACTGACAAAGATAGGTTAACAGGAGAAAAGGATACAGACTTTCTTGAATTTTTACATGTACATGGGAGCTTTTACAAGAGAATGAAGACCTGAAGAAGTGACCAGAGCAGGAAGTGTTTATACCTTTTAGACAAAGAAACAATAAAATTGTGAAGAATTGATAAAACAAAGAGTTTTGGAGTAGGGATGGTCTGAGTAGGACTGGGTAGTCCTTATCTTCCTTAAGTAGGAAGGTAAAAGTTTTACAAGCTTTGCAGATTCCTGTGGTGCCATCTCTAGGCTGATAAGAGTCTGTCTCCAGTAGAAGGAGAATGTATTTCCTGCCTTTAGGCAGCAATAGGAGAACTTTTTCTGCATTTACTGCTTAATTGCCTTCAGCTCAAAATAACTTTTATCTCAGAAACCTATCTTGGGGCAACACATTCTGGTTTCCTTCACACCTAACAACTAGCCACAGCCAGCTTCTCTTAGAGACTTAGGGATCTCTTTGGGCAATTACTGCCACTTCTGCAAAGAGAGATCCTTTGATACAGTGATCTCACCCTTGGCCCTGGAATAAATCCAGTTAACTCCCCCTTGATGAGGATTAGGCCAGCCAGCTATGGCCTTCTTAGCATGGGACTGATTAGCTAAATTCATTATCTGCTGCCACAAAATGAATAATAGTACCCTCTCTTAGTCCTCAGATGCAGATCTCTTGGTTAGGCCAGCCGAAATTAGAAGACTTAAATCGGAAGGACAGAACAGGAATGAACTACATGAAAGTGAGAACTGGAGTAAGGCACGCCGTGTAAGTGTTAACAAGTATCACAAGAACATAAGGACTGTGTGATGCTGGTCATTTTGTGGAGTGACTTGGGTTTCTCTGATGTTTGATCTCAGGAGTTAAAATCCTAATTCAGGATACACTCTGCAGCGCAGGACAGGAATGGAGAGCACAGGCTCTCAAGCCCTTCAACGTTTAAAGTCTAGTGCTGCTACTTGCTAGCTTTGTGGCCTTGAGCAAACTCTAAAACCTCTGAGCCTCAGGTTCCTCATTTGTAAAGTTGGGATGACAGTACCAATCACTTAGAGTTTTGTGGGAGGTGACACATAGCTAAATAAATGTTAACTACCATTGTTATTGCATTTAAATTATACTTCCTTCTGATGAGTTGAGATAGAATCTTGAGTGAACCAAATGAATGATCCTTAATTACCTTAGAGGTCAGTATCATAATTTGTGCAGTCTATAGTTTGTAATTGGAAGGTATGCTTTCATTGGTTGGAAGACCTAATGTAAGAAAAAGCCAAGACTTGAAATTCCACAAATCTGAACAGCTTTCTGATTGTGCTTTTTTCTTATCAGTCGGGGCCTAATGGAGGAAGATGCTGAGCCCATCTTTGAGGATGTGATGATGTCATCCCGGAGCCAGTTAGAAGATATGAATGAAGAATTTGAAGACACCATGGTTATTGATCTGGTAAGGAAATTTCATACGTTTTTAAAATGTGAAGGTATGGTGTAAGATGATGCTTTTGTTTTCAGAACCCTGTGGGAGGAGGGGTGAGGTGAGGAGGAGGGGGTAACACTGACCAGCAGTGGGCAGGGCCTATGAAATGCTTGTGCGCATTTAGATGAGCTTATGTGTTTTTTAAGCCTGCTTTCAAAGCAGTCAGATTTTGAGTTCTGGCTATACAGGAACTGGTCCCTTGAAAAAGAGCTCACGGTAGATCTTGTCTTTCAGTATAGCATATGCATCTGGCCTCTTGTACTTTAAATTGGAGTCTGACAGTATACCCTGTACTCCAACATAACAACCAGATGCAGAAAATGGACCTTATTTGTTCGGTATGAAAGGACATCTTTGAAGTAAGGAAATCTGAACATGGACTTATGTGTAGGTGAAAATTATTAACTTGGTCAGGAGTAGTCATGCATGGTGGTTATGGTTTTTTGTTTTATTTATTGAGGTAACATTGGTTTATAACATTATATAAATTTCAAGTGTACATCATATTTCAACTCTGTATACCACCAAAAGTCTAGTTGCTAAAGTGGTTGTGTTTTTTTAAAAGTTTCCATCCATTAGAGATATATTTTGAAGTAGTGAAAGTACATGAAGAAAAAAGGGGATTCAGTGAAACAAGATTGGCCAAATATCTTGACTATTGTTGAAGCCAGGTGAATGGCACATGGGAGTTGATCATAGTACTTTCTCTGTGTGTTAACAATTTGCTGTGGCTGCCATAACAAATACCACTGACTAGGTGGCTTAAACAACAAAAATTCATTGTCTCTTAGTTCTGGAGTCTAGAAATCTGAGATCAAAGTGTCAGCAAGGTTCATTTCATTCTGAGGCCTCTCTCCTTGACTTGTAGGTGGCCATCATCTCCCTTTGTCTCCACATGATCTTTCCTCTGTGCGTGTTTCCTCTTCTTATAAGGACACGAATCATATTGGATTAGAACCCACCCATATGACCTCCTTTTACCTTAATTACCTCTTTAAAGGCCCTATCTCCAAATAACAGTCACATTCTGAGGTACTGGGGTTAGGACTTCAACATATGAATTGGGGGGACATAAATTTAGCCCATAACATTCTGCTTTGTATGTTTTAAATTTTCCATGAGATCATGTCACTCCAATCTGTAACCTCCCTCTTCCCAGCCCATCAGTAGCTTTCCATCTACCTGCTTTGGGGAATTCAGTCAAGTTTTGTCACCTAGTATTTGATCAATTTTGTAATTATTCCATGATTAAAAGATATGCTCTATGTTTATAGGCCCAAAAATTTATATGCATTTACATGTTCAATTTATTCATAATTTGAAAGCCTCTTTTTTTTGTCTAAGTGGTAATTAAAAGCCAAACGCACTCAATTTTTTTTTAAATGTATGCTCCATGTAAGAGCCAGAGTCTTTTCCTTTCAAAATTGACCCTTAACAGTTCCGTGTTATATCATCAGAAATATTAGAAGCTTATTATTACAGTTCATTGTCTTAATGTATCTCAGGAAAAAATTAACTGGCTTCTCTTTCCAGCCCCCATCAAGAAATCGGCGAGAGAGAGCTGAGCTGAGGCCAGATTTCTTTGATTCTGCAGCTATCATAGAAGACGATTCAGTAAGTGTTAAATTTATTATGCTTTTTATTTATGGTTCCTGGGTCTTGTTTTTGCATGAAGTTAATAATTGTGTTTCTCATTTTTCTAGGGATTTGGAATGCCTATGTTCTGAAGTCTGAAGAAAATTTACAAATCTGGAACTCTATTATTTAGAGCTAGAGGCCTATATACTGTGATAGCTTGTATGGGGAGAAAACACTTTTGATGTGATCTTATTTGTTTTTTAATCAAATGATTGCGGTCAACCCCTTTTTGCAGTGACAGAAGAGGAGCATGTAAATTACCCAAGGGAATGTTGGTGAATGTCACCTCAGAAAGACTGACCTGAAAAATCATTTGTGTCCTAATATTGGACTTATCCCAATACAGATGTGTGTGTTTTTCTGGAGGGAGGAAGAAATTTTAAATTTTTAAAACAGCTGTCAAGATAAACACTGTTATACACCTGTTTTATGAAAACTCAGCACTGAGTAAAAAAAAAATATTTTTAACTTTATTTTCCTGTTGTACAATTTAAAAACCGTTTTAACATTTTGCCTTTTTATGTTTTAAAAGCTAACCATTTTTATTAAACCTATGAGTAAGCAGCTCATCCTAATTGCCGAAGAGTGTTTTGGAGCTCACTGGATTTGGTTGACCTTGTGGAATATAGAAATATGGTGGAGCAGAATATTGACAAGCTAAGATGAGATTCTGATCGTGCATCTCTGCCAAAAACCACACACCCTCTGTGGATATGGATATTAATTCCAGATTTTATATACTCTTGAATAAAAAGGTTTATTTTTATTTATAAGGGGGCATAAAATAAGAAATGTCCATGCAGCCATTTTTCCAACAGATGCTGTACACCGTTCATTTTATATAGAATAGGGAGATTCAGATACAGTACATTTTCTATTGGTATTTGTTCTGTGCATTTTTAGCAACTTCTACCAGCAAATAAAGTATTCTCAGTAAAACAAAAATGGTTCTCAAGTTATCAGTTTGCTGTTTTTACCACTTATTTCATGCCCTGCCAAATTCAAGTTACATAGACTTCCATTTTCTTAAAAAGATAATCATGACAAACTCTTTTGCCATTCAAAAGTAATTTTAAGTGTAACATAACTGTGTCTACTTCCCATGCACTTAATACCCTTATGCGCTAATTTTGTGAATTAAGTTTACCGATTATAGAAGTATGTGCTGCATAGAAGTCTGTGCTTAGAGGGTGAAGTTCCCAAGCTTACCTTGAAATACAGCTACATTTCAGTGTTAAATGTGCATATTAAGAATTCTTTGGGGGAAAGAAATTATGAATATTCAGGACAGCCTTTGATGGTTTAGAGTTACAGTCTGCTTAGACCTTTTATGACTTGCTGCTATTGTTTTAAAAAGCCCACTTAGTTTCTTCCTTTCTGATTTTTAAAGTAAGCCTCAGAATTTCCAAACCAATCCATCCACAGCTCTTTCTGGGCTGGTTTTTAAAGTAGCTGCAACAGAATCATGAGGCTTTCCCTTTTTACCAAAAATGAAAAGCATTTTTTAAAAGAATCTGTGCACCTAATGATTATCTTTTGTGCGGGAAAGCAAAATGGATTATTTTATTCATCCTTTTAATAAATAGACACAAAACAGATATTTCTCAACATTTGTACAGTTCTGAAAAAACTTGGTCGCCAAAAATGTTTAATCTGCTAATTTAGCAATTCCTGGGTTCCAGTTACGGGGGCTGGGGTCTCACTTTCTTCTAGAAATGTGGGCTTCACTGGAAGTGAAGGGGCAGGAATGACTGGACTGTCCACCACACCAGCCCTGCCTACCTGTGGTTCTGGCCAGGGAGCAAGCCAGGAGGTGACCTGGCACATGCACAGATTGATCCTTTGCCTGACAGTTTCATGTGGAAAACAGATGCTGACTTAGGATTGTGGACTACCATGCAACAAAAAAAGGCTTAATATCTACTCCAATGGGTTTCCAGTTCAGTTTGAAGTCAATCGAATTTTTGTATTTTCAGTGTCTCCTTGATTGGTTTTGCTAGTAATTCTGTAAATTGTACATTTGCAATATGAGGTTTTTTTCCTTTTGTACAATTTGAAACTGATGCTTCACCTTTCCTTTAATAAACTATTCAAAATCAGGCTTGTAGTAGTCATCCTATTGTTCCTACTAGGTAAAGCTTTAAAAAGGTGATTTGCTGCTCTTGAGAGGGGTTGCTCTTTCAGATAATTTGTTAAATAATGGCAAAGTTACTCTATCAGTCAGTGAGGTATGTGTTTTTGTCTTAAGCAGAAATTTAGGACTAGATCATTAATTAATTTTCTCATTCCTTGGATTTCCCATGAGAGAATGGGTAGGCCACTTGTCTGTGGTTCAAGAGGAAGTCTCTTGCAGGCTGCTTTCGGGGAGACATTCAGGGAACATCCACTAGGCTCTCCCCTGGGTCCTCCCTCCTGCCTGAGATCTAGATCCTGGGCTTATGCACGGTTGCCCCCTAGCAGTGGCCCATTAAAGACCACTTGGATTCTACATGGCCACAGAAATGAGGGTTTTTCTTGATATTGGTGCCAGACATCACTCTTAAAAAACTCACGCCCTATACTTTATGGGCCAGGCCCTGTTCTTTGAGCTGTGTTCATTAGTTAGCCTAAAGAAGTGTCTGTGCATAAAAGGCAGGGACGCAGGGGATAAATAAGCATGTGAGCTCTCCAGGCAGCTAGGGAGGGAAGGTGATGAGAATGGGTCTGTCTCCATAGCTGCTCATCTTGAAGGTTACAAGCTTATGAGACTAGACCAGGGCTTTCCCTGTGTGTGACTCCACCTTGGGTCAAGCGTGCATATCATCTCCCACCTATGACTTGAGTGTGACTCCTCTGTGTGGCCCTGTTCCCAGAAAAGTCCATCAAACGATGAACAGTGCCTTCATGGAAACAAAGACTGACTGCCGCTCAGGCTTTCCATATCAGACCAAACTCAGGTAAGTTTCCACCCCTGTCCTCTTAAGTGTTTTGCCTGTCAGGATCTCTATCAATCAGCCATCAATCATTTTTTGAAGAACAGCTTTCTGCGCCCAAAGATACATAAAGCAGGCATTTCTCACCCTCCAGGACAATAGGGACGTGGTCAGAACCTTCCTACTAAGGCTACCACATCTGCCCAGATGTGCTGGCTAGACTCCACAAAGGCCCCCGACTGAGCACTGCTCATTAAGTGGCCACAGCTCCTGGGTGGGATGATGGAGGAGATCCCATGCTGACAGAGGTGCAAGAGTGTGAGGACCAGTAGTTCTCACTTAAAGAATAAAGCCACAGCTCTCCAGAAATCCTTTGGAACCAAAAAGACATAAAATACTCACATGTGTCAAATAGGTAAAGTCTAGGCTGGTTCAACAACTCCATCAAGAGTGTTAACTCAGTGTATGGGTGAGTGTTCTTCACAGGCTTCTCTGATTGGTGAGACCACATCTAAAGCACCACCATCAATGCATCCAGAGGCAAACAGTCTAGGGAGACCAAGACATGGTCAAAAGTGAAGCTGGAAGAACTTAGCATAAATATAAGCACTTTCGAACAAGCACCGGAAGGCTGCATTGTGGATGTCCTCCCCATAACTCGAGGAACTCAAAAGATGACTGACTGGCCATCACGCATGAGGTAGAAAAGCTTTCCAAGTTTACTAGCTCTGTGCGTTGAGACAATTCCAGTAAAGCAGACCACCACCTTCTCACCTCAACCCTTAGGAGCTCATCCCACCTGCCTCATCAGTTGAGAGGCAATATTCTGAATAGTTAGAAGACAGGTTTGGGATTCAAACAAACCTGCCTGGGTTCAAATCCCAGCTTTACTACTCAGCGTTCAGTAAACCCAAGTCCTCTCTAGTTACAAGATTCCACATTTTTCTTTTTCCCCTTAAGGCAAGAATACCAGTTGGGAAAGGCATTCCTACATAGCAACCAATGAAAATGCTGAAGCCTAAGCAGATAAGTACTTTGCCCTAAAAGCTTATTATCTCACCTATGGGGAAAAAAATAATTTTTGGGGGTGAAAAGGAAAACAATACACAGGTGTCAAACAAGGGTCAGTTCTAGGTGACAATACATACTGCTTTCTTGATTTTTCAGATTTCTACCATAAAAAAATGAAATTTATGCTCAAAAAATAGTTAAGATTTTTAATAAAGCAAATCATTTTACAGTAAGGGACAAGTGGAATCTTTCTGGAATTTAATAAACTTAGCCATTGCAAGTATTTGGATTCCCAGGTTTCCTGATTGCAGAAAGCAGGGATGACTGCAAACGGCCAGGGAGTAATTAGCTCTCGGTTTCTTTTCCTTTGATTCATTTACAATGGAATATTTGCATGTTTCCTCCAAGGACGCTGCACCTTCTTGCTGGCTAAGACATCCAGGTCAGAGCAGATTCGGGCACGTGTGGAGGCAGGCTGGATGATGTCGTCCACAAACCCTGGTGAAGCACAGAAACGGAAGTAGATCATCTGCATCCTCAGATGATGCCGCCCCCCAGTCTCGTGCTCAGCTGGGCACCGTCTCTGGGCCAACAGTGTGAGTAGGGCCCAACTTGATGAAAGACAGGCTGGGCCCTGTGAACTCTCCCCTGTATCCCTTGTTCCTCTGGCAGATCCTCAACTTCCAGCCTTGGGACACTTGGCAAGAAAAGAAAAATGTGACCCCTCACTGCCAAGATGAATTCAATAGGAAATAAAATTAAGAAAATACACTTGTATTTTCCAAAACGGCTACAATTCCTCCCATCCCTGTACACACATCCTTCTGCAATGTGACTTCGCCACTTCTCCCAGCAAGAAGTGGGTTCTGTTCCTTTACCTGGCCAACCGAATGTGGCAAAACTAACACTATGTAACTTCCAAATCTAGGCCTCAAACTTCCCCTCTCTCTTGCTGCCTTCAGGATGCCACGTAAAGAAGCATGGACTAGCCTCCTCAACAGCAAGAAACCAAGTGGAGAGGAAGTCTAGCTGATGGCCAGTACCAATCATGTATGTGAGGCCACTTTGGACTATCCAGCCCCAGTCAAGCCACCAGATGACTATAGTTGCATGACTGATCCCAGGGAAGACCAGCTGAGCCCAGATCAAATCACTGACTCCCAGCACCATAGGCAAAAGAAAAAAAAAAATGTGGTTGTTTTAAGCCACTGTTTTGGGGGTGGAGTTTTAAACAGTACTAGGTAACTGGAACAACACTAAGAAATTCAGCCATTTCAGCAATGTTGTTTTGATCCTGGTTACCAAAGCAGCCTATACAGGCCCCATTGTCCTTAAGTGATGACTGCCCAGGGACAACCCCAACCCTCACCAGTCTCCAGATTCAACTCTAAGGGCAAAAGGCAGTTATGTGAGACTTTTGGAAGTAAAAGAATGAGCAAGTAACCCAACAAATGAGTAAAGCACCATCCCCATCACAGTTCCTACCTCTCACTGCTGCAGGAAAAGGGTTGGCAAACTTCTTGATATACTCTGCTTGAGCAGCTTCCACATTCTCATGCCCTTTGAAGATGATCTCCACAGCACCCTGCCATGAGAGGAGTTCATGACCTTCCCTGGAGGTCCCAACTTGGGCAGACCTCCCTCAACTCCTTACTGCTGTCTGTGGTTGTGAACTTCTTGGCAAATCAAAGTGTACTGGATAGAAGTGCCAGCTCTGGGGGCCAGAGCATAGCGGCGGGCACTGCCTGGAGTCAACCCTCGTGATTCCAGGGACTGTGTGATGATGGGACACAGCTGTGGCCCCAGTGACAGGCAGCCCAGGCAAAGCCAGTAGCTTGTCTCCCCAGATTCCAACCTACCCTCTTCCATTGCACTTATCCTTGGTTGCAGCCAAGATGTTTGGCCTATTTTCCACTGTTAGATCCATGTCTCCTGCATCAAGGGGAAGTAAAATGCTGTTTTCCTTTTTCATTATCCTGAGCCCTGAGTACATAAACTCAGTGGCCAGAGAAGGACAGACTG